TTGAAACAGGTTTACATCCAAGGAGACCTGTTTCTTTCAGCAAATCAAGTACATATTTCCTCTGACAGATCACAATTCCTTTCTGGGATCTAGCAACTTCCATACCAAGAAAGTACTTGAGATTTCCTAAATCTTTTATCTCGAATTGTTGAGCTAGGAAATTCTTTAATGCTGCCAATTCTCCCTGATCATCTCCTGTCAATACTATGTCATCCACATATACAATTAGTACTGCAACTTTACCTTCTACACTATGTTTGTAGAACAAAGTGTGATCTGATTGTGCTTGAGTGTACCCTCGTTTCTTTACAGTTTTTTCAAATCTTCCAAACCAGGCCCTAGGAGATTGTTTGAGTCCATATAAGGCCTTCTTCAGTTTGCACACCTTTCCTGCAGTAGTATCATTGTCAAATCCAGGTGGAACTTGCATAAATACTTCTTCTACCAAGTCTCCGTTAAGAAATGCATTCTTAACATCTAGTTGTAGTAGTGGCCAATCCAAGTTTGCAGCTAAAGAAAGAAGTATTCTGACAGTGTTAAGCTTTGCAACTGGAGCAAATGTTTCTTCATAATCTAGCCCATATGTCTGAGTGAACCCTCGAGCTACAAGTCTAGCTTTGTGTCTTTCTATCGTACCATCAGAATTGTACTTGATGGTAAAAATCCATTTGCTATCAACCAGTTGTTTGTTGGGTGGCAATTTTGTCAATTCCCAAGTTTGGTTCTTTTCTAATGCCCTCATTTCCTCTAGAATAGCCTCTCTCCACTTTGGAATACTTAGAGCTTCATGTATCGTTTTAGGAGTTTCATCATCAGTAATGCTAGTGGTGAAGGCTCTAAACTTTGGTGATAGGTTATGATATGACACATAGTTACTAATTGGGTGTTTGGTACATTCTCTAACTCCTTTTCTAGTGGCTATTGGTTCATTGAGATCACTTTGGTTAGGCACAGAGACTGACTCAGAAGTAGGATTTAAATTACTGTGCTCAGACACAAGATATTTTTCAAGAGTTGGATGGAGAATAAGTGTATTACCTGGAGCATGACTTGGGGTAGGGATTGGTTGTGCATCATTGGGTTGTGGAATAACCCTTTGCCTCTCTTTCCTTCTTGAGTAAACACGAAGTTCAGTAGTTGGTGCCATGTTTCTCATAGTTGCAGAATCTTTATGAGGGGTAGAATTATTTGTTATGGTATGTTTGTCATTGGCTAACTCAGTTTGGTCATTAAAAACAGGAATAGGAAGCACATTGCATTTCCAAAACTTATCTTCATCATTCACTAAATGCTCCCCCTGAAGAGAAGTTTGATTAAAAAAAGGTTGATTTTCAAAAAATGTGACATCCATACTGACAAACATTTTACCCGAGCTCACATCAAAACACTTATAACCTTTTTGAGTGTTTGAAACACCTAAATATATGCATTTGATAGCTCTAGGATCCAATTTGCTGCGATTTATAGCATGATTATGAACAAAACTAGTGCAGCCGAAAACTTTGTGGGGTAATTCAGTAAAAATTTTATTATGAGGGAAGAATGTTAGTAGAGTTTGTAAAGGGGTTTGATAGCTTAGAATTTTGCTTGGCATCCTATTTATTAGATAAGTAGCATGAAGTAAGGCCTCTCCCCAAAAACGTTTTTGAACATTCATTGAAAACATAAGAGCTCGAGTAACTTTTAAAAGATGTCTATTTTTTCTTTCGGCAATTCCATTTTGTTGAGGTGTAACTACACAAGAACTATGATGGATTATGCCTTGTTTGATCAAAAAATTTCCAAGAATTTTATTGAAATACTCTGTTCCATTATCAGTTCGAAGAACTTGGATTTGGGACTGAAACTGAGTTTGAATCATAGAATAAAATTTTTTAAATGTTTCAGCAGCTTCAGATTTTTCTTTAAGAAGATAAATCCAAGTTTTTCGTGTGTGATCATCTATAAATGTAATGAACCATCTTGCCCCAGAATAACTTTTGACACGAGATGGTCCCCAAATGTCACTGTGAATTAAGGAGAATGGTTTGGATGGTATATAGTTCACAGTGGGATAAACAAATCTCTTATGTTTAGCCAATTGGCAAATTTCACACTGGAAAACTTCAACATCTTTATTTTTGAATAATATAGGAAATAAATGTTTCAAATAACCAAAACTAGGATGGCCTAATCTATAATGCCATAACATTATTTCATTCTCTAAAGATAAGTAACTAGAGAAACATGGATTATGAACTTGTTTACGTTGAAGATTTTCTGAGGTAAAGTAGTAGAGTCCACCACTTTCATGTGCACTACCAATCACCTTCCCCGAGCTGTGCTCCTGAAAAACACACCCAGAAGAAACAAATTTGACAAGGCAATTAGAATCACTGGTTATTTTGCTGACTGATAACAAATTACATGATAGATTAGGCACATGTAGGACATTGGTTAAAGTGAGTAAAGGTGAGACAACAATAGAACCTTTTCCAGCTATTGCAGACAAGGAACCATCTGCAATTTTAACCTTTTGATGACCAGAACAAGGAAAATATGTGGAAAACATGTATGAAGATCCAGTCATATGATCGGTGGCCCCTGAATCAATGATCCAAGGGTCGGATTTATCTAATTTAAGGTTAAACGCTGCTGCATAGGTACCTTTTTGAGCTAATGAAGATGAAGGATCAGATGGGCTTTGGTTCAAGTTATTAGCAAACTGATGTGTACTCAGGATACGACGCAATTGCTCTAAATTTTCCTTGATGAATGAGTTGTCACTGGAGGATAGATACGCATTAGATTCTTCTGAAGAGACCTGGAAACCACCTCTGGAATTGCGCTGTGACCTATTTGTTGGTGTAAAGTTAGCTGGTTTGCCATGTAACTTCCAACATTTAGCTTTGACATGTCCAATCTTGTGACAGTAGTCACAAACAGGTCTGTTCTCTTTCTTTTGAAATAGTTGGGGTGACAATTCTGGCTTCTCATCAGCTTTTGAAGTGGCTAGCGCTACAGTTTCAGCATTTGATAAAATTTCAGCATCAAGCATCACATGCCTACATGCTTCCCGTGTGCTGGGCAGTGGGTCTTTTCCAAGTACTCGACCTCGAACTTCATCAAGTTCCTTGTTTAGTCCAGCCAGAAAGTCAAAGACCCTCTCCTTCTCGATGGTCTTTTTATATAAAGCACTATCTAATAGGATCTAAGCTAAAACTATGCTAACAACCCTGACTAAGTACAATAGTTATCTAATTACAGTTAAATAGATATGTACGAGTAAATTTAAAATAGCTAACAGTTTGATTCTCATTGAAGTATTTGATATTGATTCTCTTTATGTGTTTGGATAACTTGCCCTAGCAAATAAATAGTAGTGCGAAATTACTTGAAGGAAATAATGTATTAAGTATGTAGTCAGGTACTGATTAATAATCACAGATTCGCAACATTATATTTAGCTGATGTTAAAAAATTCAAATTTTATACAATCTAGTTAACACATCAACTCCTTGATGAAAATTTAAGACCAATAGCATACCATTAGTAGAACTAAAAAATACGTAGTAGCAGTGTAGCACATTTCATCCACTTAGGTCTTTTTTTAATGATTCACTCATAGAAGAAGAATGATTATCCACTTTTTTGTAGGACTAAATCAGTTCTTTTTTGCACAAAATAAAACAAACAAGTCTTGATTGTGCATAGTTGATGTTTTACTCCTATTTACTGTAAATAAGATTTTTTTAAGGGCAGACATCTCCTTAGGCAAGACAGCTTGGACACAATTGTGCATTTGTGCTTTTATGTCAATCTCAAGTCACAAAAAAAATTATTTTCACACTTGTTAACTACGTGCAAGTGGTGCAACCAGTGATGGACCTGGTTCGGGCCACCCGGCCCGGGAACCGGCCTGGTACTGTGCGGGCCCGGACCGGGAACCGGGTACCGGTTACGGGTCATTGGCCCAGTTTAGGGAGGGTGGCGGGCCGAGTACGGGTATGGGGAAAAGGCCTGGCCGGTTCCGGGACCGGTTCGGGCTTAATTCTGTTTTTTTTTTAATTTTTTTTAACTTTCCGGGTTGGGCTGGGTATTTTGAGCCATTTGGGCTGGTTTGGGGGGGGGGGGGGGGTCGGGGGTTAATTAGAAAAAGCAAAAAAAATATATAGAGGCCTGAGGCCCGGTCCGGACCTGGACCGGACCCGGTGGATACCCGGGCTGGTCCCGGGACCAACCCAAAATCCCAGAAAGCCTGCTGGGCCTAGGCCCGGCCCGGTCCGAATCCAACCCTACGTGTAACTTCACCAAAACACAAGACATATAACACATTTTATACCTAGACATGCTAAAATTCATTTCCAAATGGTGCTAGAAGATTCACAAAGTTTGGTCCGATCTGATCTGTTTAATTTTTTTGAGTGGAAATACCTAAAATTAATGTTTTATTAACTTCTACTTATTGGTGAAAAACTAAACACAGTCACACAAGGAGAGTCATGCTTTTAAATGCTTCACTTTTTTATTACACCAAAAAAATATTTTTTCAGCAAATACTCTACTTACCAAAAAATACTTTTTCAGCAAATACCAATCTTTATTATTAATAAATTTTTTTCGGATAATTTCAAAAAAATACTTAGAGCCCGTTTGGAGAACTCTGTTTTCGGCTTATCAGTCAACTTTTTCACCAAACACATAACTTTTAATTTCGCGCGCTGAATTGTGTAATAAGCCGAAAAAGTAAGGTTGGAGTTACTTTTCTGGCTGTATTGGCTGAAGTTACTGTAGAGGACCATTTTAGCTATTTTTACATATAATTTTTCTTTAATTTATTAATAAAATATATTTTTAAAATTTTTTTTTCTTAAATCAGCAGAATCAGCCAAAACAGCCACTCCAGCCAGAATATCATAAATTTCAGCAGAATCAGCCAAAACAGCCGATTTTGGTGCTAGCAAACGGGCTCTTAACTTGTTTAAAAGCGATCATTATAAAAAAAGCGGAGGTAATCACAAACCGAAACAAAAAACAAAGTTCCTAAACCCAAGTCACCCAACCGTTGTCGTAGAAACAGTGGAAAGCGCAGTGAAAGGGAAAAAGAAGAACTCGACTCAAAGAACCTGCGGCGCCTAAGGAAGAACCTGCCGCGCCAAAAGAAATTACACTCCGGCTATAACGCAAAGAGGCAAGAAAAACACTCGAAGTCCTTATTTCTTTAATGATGCCCTGTTTTAATGTTCATATGCCAATTGCAATAGAGGGGGCTTAGGACAGGATGAATGAGGGAGCGACGAATTTGAGTTTATGCCATAAGAGACATGTTCCTGTTTCAATAATTAGTTGTCATATTTCTACCAGGATTTTCGTAGATATACAATCCAAGTATCCAACTTGAGTTTACAAATAAGATGCTTGTAAAATCTTTGACATTTTAGATTCAACCTCTTTCAATCGGGGTTTAGGTTGTTTGACATGCACCAGTTTAAATTTAGACAAGGGTGTTTGTGAAATGCAAGCACGTAGTTTTCTTAGATTCTTTTGCACTATGTTAGTTTCACTGAAAAGAATGATAATTAATAAAGCGTAAGTAGTTTGATTAGAGAAGTTAGGGAACAATGATAGAAAAGCAGAGGAGCTATAAAATGGTTGTCTGGGAGTTTGAGAGGGGTGTTCATTCCTGGCTGTCGAGCTTCTTGCCCCTCAGCTTCCAGAGGAAGAGATCTCTTCCTCTGTATTTGGTCCCTGACAGCGCCACTCTGATTCTTTTTTTGCTGAAGGTTTCGTAGCGTCAAACGGTGAAGCTTTGATGAGCAACGAGAGGGAGAGGATCATGTAAATGAGAACCTGATGCCATTATTAATTTGAATCTTGATTCTCATCAGAAGTCCATCACCACACTTTCCATAGGGTTACAGGAAAGAGATTTGACGCCACTGACAGAACTACAGAAGGAAGAAAAACATCAAGGTATCAGCAATAGTTGATAAGGAGGCATCGTCGTCGCAGTGAACATCCGACTAACGAGGAAATTTTTGATTTTTCTGGACTAACTTAATCAGTATTTGAACATTTAACTTGGTCATTTTCTTTGTAATTTAACTAAGTTGACTGGGATGTGACCGTGGTAGGATTTTGTAATTTGATTGTTTTAAGAGAGTGTACCTTCTCTATTTAGTGATGCACGGTAGAATTTTCCTCATTATAATACTCCGTATATAATTTGTTGTTTTCAGTCAATTAGCATGATAAGGAGAACATTTTGGTCAATCAATCATTACAAAACTTCTGAGGTTACTCCTATTCAGCAATCACTCCAGTACAGGGATCTCAAGTACAGGGATCTCAACTGCAAGTTTATCTGAGATCAGCTTTCTCAGATAACTAAGTTGGACATTTAACTTGGTCATTTTCTGAGGACTAAATGCAAAATATAGAATTTCCTATACTAAGCTGACTAGGATGTGACCATGGTTGGATTTTGTAATTTGATTGTTTTAAGAGAGTGTGCACCGGTACCTTCTCTATTTAGTGATGCACGGTAGAATTTTCCTTAATATATATATATATATATATATATATATATATATATATATATATTGTTGTTTTCAGTCAATAAGCATGATAAGGAGAACATTTTGGTCAATCAATCATTACAAATCTTCTGAGGCTACTCTTATTCAGCATTCACTCCAGTACAGGGATATCAACTGCAAGTTTATCTGAGATCTTTCTCCAACTCAAGGAATCACAACTAGCTCAAGGAAGAAGATAATTATTAGGTATAACGAATTTTAAAGCAGTTCATTTAATGAGACTAGAATTAGCTCCCACCTGTCTTTATGCAGCCGTAACAGACTATATAAGTTATCTCTTGTTATAGATATGATCAAATTAATTATAAAAGATTATGATTGTATTTCTCATTTGGATTACAGAGGAAATGGAGATGGATAAATTTTAGGGAAAAAGGTACAAATATGCCTAAACTTTTTTGCAGCATATTGAATTGTTTTCACACTTCAGAGAAGAATTCTTTGCTGTTCAGTTCATCTTTATGGCAGTATTTAAGGCTTTAAGCTTTAGATTCTTTTCTTTTATGGTGCCTGTGCTTTCCGGAAAAGAACAATTGAAATCAATAATTCATAATTGAGTCAATTTTAAAAAAGGTTGTTGTCACTATAGATGCTATATTTGAATTTGAACACATACAGTGTACTAAATTGGGTGTCTGAGTCTCTGTTCAGACTGTAATGTCATCAGAAAGGAGTATAATTGATAAAGGGTCCTGGGATGGGAGCATTTCATCTAGAGAGTTCTACATTGCTGCTTGTGCATTTAGTGAGCAATGGCAGAAGTTTAACCCTGCTTTTCCTCAATGGTCATGGTGCAGATGTCCAAAGCTTCTTGGGGTTCCTTCCTCTGGAGTACTGCCCTACACCCATAGTTTGCTTGTTTTCTTAGTGACGCATTCAAAGATGCATTTTATTTAATAAAATTGTTACTTTCTGTTTTAATTTATTTATTCAGGTAGACGGTTATCTCTGCGTGGATGGTGTAATTCCACCTCCCGGGTCTACTGTGGTATGTGCTGGTAGTTGATACTTTAACTCAGTCACGTTGTGGAGAGCTTACCCGATACTTCATATAGAGAAATTCATTACTCCTTGTTTGGTTGGGGATTTTAGAGAAGAGAGAAGGGGATGGGTGATATCTATTTTATTAATTTATTCTTAGACTAAGATAGTTGAAAAGAAAGCCAAGATGAAAAATGAGGTATATAGGATTTAACTGCACATATATTTTCTCTGTCCCTGAAAAAAGAGTCCTCTTTGAAGCTATACTTTTCTTTCAAAAAACAAATCCTTTTTTAACAAAAGAAAGCTATTTTTTCGAAAAAGGAAAAGTGCCAAAAACAGGTTTAGACTTAGAGTGCTATTTGTGGTTAAACAAAACACTCAAATTTTAGAGCATAGCTTTAATTGATGATGTCTAATAGTTATACCTTTTGAAAATAAAAGTTGTACCTTGGTGGAATGTGACCTTTTTTTTGGAACTGAGGTGTAGTACTTATTTTCTAGTCTAAGGCAAAAAAGTAGAGATAATTTAATAAAATGAAAATAATTCTTCTGCTCTCAACCCCTGACCAAACAAGCCCTTAATTTCATACTTTCTTCTCATTCTCTTCAGGAAGATAATCATGAATATGGCGACGGTATAATAAAAGAGACAGGTTGCTTGGAGGAAGATGACATTATTGATAGTGCTGCATTGGTCTGTAGATTTTGTTTCGTTTGTGTTGGTGCTTCAGATTCTTAATTTCTTTGGACATATTATGTGAAATTAATGATCTTTCATACTCATCTTTCTCTGAAGGAGTCTCACCCTTTTGTTTCTGTTTAAAGGTTCAACCTCAGAGATGTGAAAGGTGCTGTTACGACTTCCACATTGTTTACAGCTTATCTTATAGGGTTCCTGTGCTATACTTCCGTGCATATTGGAGTGGTATGTCCAATTCTACACATTTGTGCCTCAAACAGGTCATTAGGTTTTATGGATTATATTTAAGTATTCCACCCCTCTTACTAAACCCTTTCTGAGTGCTTAAAAAACAAGTGTAAAATTAGGCTGAAATTGCGGCGGAAACCGTTGAATGAGTTTAATTATGTATTTTTTAGAAACATGTCCATGTTTAAAAATGAGACAACATATATTCTAAGAGGAAAGATCAAGTTAAATGTGCCTGACCATATTTCTTTCAGGATTTTGGCCAAAAACTAAATCAACAGTCCAGTTTCTTTTGCCCATTAGCATACAATAATTCAATTTCACACTGAAAATAGCTCCACTTTTAAATTTTTTAATGATAAATTAATCCTGACCATAATATAAATAAATCCTAAACTGGAGATTAAATTTCTACCTGCTATCTTCAATGCTACGGTTGAAATTACTAGTTGATACTAATGAGCAAAAAAATATGAACGGTTAAACTGATAAAGCGATGTAATACACAAAGTCAAAATTAAGCAGACCCAATTCCCTGCCAGACATATTATGTGTACTAGATATGAATTATAGTATAATTTTCATGCTAGTTGTTTTCATCTCCCAGATGGACAACCTTTGGCATTGCAAGAGCTGGAAAAGAACATCCCTGAAAGCACAAGGCAGGAACTGACAGTACACAAATGGACCTTTATAACACAAGAGGTTACTAGAGTAAAGTTATTTACCTCCAATTGTATTTACATCCTATAGTTTTAACCAAGCATTTATCCTACATCATATACCTGTAGGAGCACCCATACCTGAATCAGCCTTGGTTCACACTACATCCATGTGGGACTAGTGAGTGGATGAAGCTTCTTTTTACTAGGGACACATCTACATTGGCACTTGGTGGAGTGGCTGTTCATAGATATATGGTCTCTTGGTTCTCCTTTATTGCAAAAGTTTTTGGTCTCAAACTTCCCTTTGGAATGTTTCGGAGTAGTGATTCTCATACTCAACCCTCTAGCTAAGCAGCATGTCAGAACATACACATTAGTTATTTTGAGATTTTTTCATTTTGGTTCTGTATCTACTGTGCTAGTGACACTTCAATATTCATGTTTTAACTTTTTCACCTTTTGTTCTTTGACTAATGTGCCATACACATTTTTGGTACTCAATTTAAAAAAAAATCACTTTTACTTCTGGCAAAAGTGACTTTTGATCCTCCACCTATTACAATGAAATCATAAGGGAATGACTAAAAGTGTCGCTATAAAAAAGTAAAAGAAATAAAAAAACTAAAATGTTCCTATAAGAATGGAAAAGTTCAAAGGTGAAAAGTTTTAAGACGAGTACCAAAAGTATTATTGATGTAGACCTCGTTTGGTGACCCCTTTTTTCAGCTTATCAGGTTTATCAGTTAGCTTTTTCACCAAACACGTAATTTTTTATTTCGCGCGTTGAATTGTGTAATAAGCAGAAAAAGTAAGGTTGAAGTTACTTTTCTGTTTGTATTGGCTGAAGTTACTGTAGAGAATCATTTTAACTATTTTTTCATATAATTTTTTATTTTATTTATTAATAAAAATATTTTAAATATAATTTTTTCATGAATCAGCAGAATCAGCCAATACAACCACTTCAACCAGAACTTCATAAATTTCAGCAAGATCAGCCAATACAGCCAATTTTAGTGTTACCAAACGGGCTTGTAATAGTTGGCACTAAAAATATCTAAACTCTTACTTATTCCGTATTTAATTATCATATCAAGTTTGTATTTTTTCATGAAGATAGGTTTTATGAAATTTCTTTTCCTGGAATTTCTTTTTGGTTTGAAATGTCTGTAAAAACACTTTCTCTTTTGAAAAGAAAGTCACTTTATTAAGATCTAAAGGAGAAATGGTCATATAACCTAACAAAATAGTCTACTTTAAGTTAATTTTTAATAGTGTATAACACTTAAGTGATTAATATAAACGATGGAATTTTGCTTCGTGTACAATAATGCTGTGATATGCAATATTAAGTAATTATTTATGGCAATATTAATCACTTATTTATTATCAATAATGCTACACTCTAGGATATTTAAATATAATGAGGTTATTTTTTATTCCCAGCCTGATGTTATTGTAAGCTCTTTGGGTAACCATGATTTGGATTAACATAAGTTGCTTTTACTCTAAAAAAACTGTTATGAGGAATAAAGATACCATTTACAAATTACTATGTACGACTTTGGGAGAGTTAAGGTGATGATATTAGTCTCCCACTCGATCTCCCTTATGTAGTTTCGTGTGCATTGCTCTGTGTCATGAATCATGATATCAGTTGGTCTCTGGTATGAAACTGCCATTCCGCAAAGACACCACTTTTTTTCAAGTCCAAAAAACATAGCAAAAAAGCTTCAAACATTCCAAATTTCCACACCCCTTTAACCCCTTTCCTTCAACCCACAGTTTGATAGATAAAAGCCCCCCTTCCCGCATTCAGAATATACCAAGAGAGGGAAAAAGCTAGCTAGGAAATACTACCATCTCTTGACCAGAGCAGAAGATCAAAAATGTCTTCGTTGGAGGACAAAGGGCGCACCACCAGCGTCCACGTGACGGCGCTTGACGGGCTGGTGAATGTGAACTCTCTCTTCTCCGTGGCCGTCTTCATGGGGCTGTCGATCGCCACCCCGGGCCAGAAAAGCCTGGAGGAGCGCCCGGGGTGCGACGCGGGGACGGACGTGGTGAAGAAGCTGCTGGTGTACGAGGTCGTCTCCTTCAGCTTCTTCCTCTTCTCCTCTCTGCTGGCCCAGGGCCTGAAGCTGACCATCAATGTGATAAACAGCAAAGACGATGATGAGGCCGCAAAGGTCCATGTGAATACCATAGTTTTGAAGCTTGGGATGACAGGCTCTGCTATTGGGACCGTTTTGGGCTGCATTTTTTTGATCCTGTCTATGGTGAATGTGATTGAAATCCGGCTGGGGAATCTGTCCTGTGGGAGCCAATCTTCCGGCCATGCCGTGCGAGTCTTGGTGATTTCAGTAGTTATTGCCCTGTGTTCTTACATCCCTACGGCTGGCTATGCTATTTGGCATGGGTAATCAACTCATCCCAACAGAAATACACCAATGTATTTCCTTGAACTTTTGTTTTTGCTTCTCAATGTCATTCTCATCCTCTTGTGTTTGGTCACATTTCTAGCTGTTTCCTCATCTTGTTGTTTCTTAACTTTTGGTATACATTGTTGTCTTGGATCCGAAGCCTCTGCCTTGCTTTAGAGCATGGCAGGGTGCCTGGCTGACCGGCTCTTCCCGATCGTTCGATAAAAAATTCTAAGCGCCAAAGATAATTCATTCCTTCGCCGATCTTGAGACCGTCCTCGTTGCTATACTGCCGTCCGATGCCGCAGAGGACCCTGATCCTGTCGTCTTGATCCATTTTATTTAATTCTTTATACACAATACACATATATATAGTGTCATAGTGATGTAATATGAAATGCTAAAATGGAGATAAGTGCCAAATTGAAGTTTTAAATGGATTAAATAAAAAAAGGCAAATGTTTGTGACATTTTTTGCAAGGGTTAGTGACACTTCGAGATCTTATATCAATGTATTATTCTTTTATTTTTTGGGTGTTGAAAAACTTTTCGATGTATTTTGGTTTATGATCTCGTCTTCCAGTTTTCTCTTTGAACTCTGTTTGAAAACAATGTTATAGATAAGAAGCCATTAACATGTAATATTAGTTTCCATTCGATGATATTATAGTGGCAGTCTCACAGAAAAGGTCATAGGGTCGGAATTCATCTCAATAAAAAATATTACTCCCCCGTTCCATTTAAAGGTTCTCATACACTATTCTCCGGTCAACATGCATTGTTCCTAATCTTTTACTTTATACATCTAAAGTTTATGAAATTTAAATTATTTTTTGCAGGTTTTGTAACGATTTTAATGTAGTTTCTGAATATGTAAATTTTATTTAAAATGTTATATTAATAACAGGGATAAGTTAATTTTATGGTCAGTCAAACTTTGTAAATAGTGTGGGAACCTTAAAGTGGGATGGAGGGAGTAACATTTAATTAGAACCGATATTATATTGTATTAGAAAGCATAACGTAGTGGTCAAGTTCAATTATTTGCCGACTCACTCTCATATAGAAGGTTTTGGGTTTGAAACTCTATCGAAACACTTTTAGCTCTGCTAACCTCAAGCTCCCCTAGCACCCTAGCCCCAACCCCCTTGGGTAAGAAAAAATTATAAAGCACAACAGAAACAACATATGATATTAGTATTAGGATATAAATTGTTGAAATTTTAGGCTTAAATATGGTTTGTATCTAAAAATATTCGGAGTACCCCATATTACATTCTAGTTTAGATTTATTTAAATTTTGTCTTTTCAAATATGCAGTCAATACTACTAATATTTTTATTTCGGGAAAAATAGTCAAATAGGTCCTCGAACTTACATAAAAAGATCAAATAAGTCCTTATATAAGAGGCTCTATCCGACCGTCGCCATTTGGGATGCTTCCCGCTGGAATTTTTTGATGAACTTTTTTGAGCATCTTATTCATTAAGTCTAGTTTACTCATACCAAATTTCGGCTAAAACTTCAATCAGGAAGGCATTCAAATTAATTCTTGAAGATAACTGCGCAGTTAAAAGCGCAATCATCTTCAAGAATTAATTTGAATGCCTTCCGGATTGAAGTTTTAGCTGAAATTTGGTATGAGTAAACTAGACTTAATGAATAAGATGCTCAAAAAGTTGCATAAAAATTTCCACTGGGAAGCGCCCCAAATGGCGATGGCTGGACAGAAGCTCCTATATAAAGACTTATTTGACCTTTTTAGGTAAGTTCGAGGACCTATCTGACACTTTTCCCTTTTTATTTCCTCTTGATTAAATTTTGTTTTTCTCATTTTTAAAATTTTATATTGATATTAATTGAGTCATACTTTCATTATAAAATGAAGAAGTTATATATTTATGATTAGAATAAAAGTTGTTTACAAAAATGTGTTTTCTTGAGTGTAATGACTATTGTAGTAACTTTAGTCATAGGCTATGTTCGATACAACAAGCTGTAACTGGAAGCTAACGTTTGAATTAAGGGTTATTGTCCGTATAAAAGACTTTTGTGTAGAACTGAATTTGAAGTGTTGAATATGAACTACGAACTAAATGAAGTACACTTGTTTGATTTTATATTTTAAAACATTGGTGCTCCTTATATATTTATACATATACATTTTTTATCGGTACATATTTATATTCAAATATAAATGAAGTACACTTGTTCCATCGATCAATATATTTTCTGTTCTCAAATTGCAGAATTTATATCATTGTTGTGTATTCTTTCCATGGATTGTTAGCACATATTGTCTGTCACATAGTCACATGCAAAACGTGTTTTTTTGTCATAAACATAGGTTTTGTTTCTTTTGAGGTCGTAAATCTCGTAATCACAAACTCTTGACCTTGGTGAGTTTGCCCATGGTGTGGGTTGCTCTGCTTTTGAGAAAATATATTGACAAAGGGCGCACCACCAGCGTCCACGTGACGGCGCTCGACGGGTTGGTGAATGTGAACTCGCTCTTCTCCGTGGCCGTCTTCATGGGGCTGTCGATCGCCACCCCGGGCCAGAAAAGCCTGGAGGAGCGCCCGGGGTGCGACGCGGGGACGGACGTGGTGAAGAAGCTGCTGGTGTACGAGGTCGTCTCCTTCAGCTTCTTCCTCTTCTCCTCTCTGCTGGCCCAGGGCCTGAAGCTGACCATCAATGTGATAAACAGCAAAGACGATGATGAGGCCTCAAAGGTCCATGTGAATACCATAGTGTTGAAGCTTGGGATGACGGGCTCTGCTATTGGGACCGTTTTGGGCTGCATTTTCTTGATCCTGTCTATGGTGAATGTGATTGAGATCAGGCTGGGGAAGCTGTCCTGTGGGAGCCAATCTTCCGGCCATGCCGTGCGAGTCTTGGTGATTTCAGTAGTTATTGCTCTGTGTTCTTACATCCCTACGGCTGGCTATGCTATTTGGCATGGGTAATCAACTCATCCCAACCGAAATACACCAATGTATTTCCTTGAACTTTTGTTTTTGCTTCTCAATGTCAT